AGAGCTGGAATTGCTCCAGATTTTATTTTTGGGAGCCATCCTGGCATTCCCAAGCAATGGATGCACCTCGGGGTGGTGTCTCCTGGCAAAGGACAAAGAAAAGAGCTCTTTTCCAAGGCCTCCTTTCCCAAATAAAGCAGGAATGAAGCTTAAAAAATCAGCTTTGCCTCTCCTTCTGTCATCCTGCTCATCCAGAGTTTGGATTCCCACCAAACCCTTGGGCTGGTTTAAGTTTTATGACAATGCTAAGCTTAAGACAACGACTCTTTTCTTGATGTCTTTGCATCAGGGGTGACTTAAATCACCCTCAACTCAATTTTACTTCCTTGAAAAGCGGGAGAAAAACACTTGGAAGAACTTCTGGCTCGGGTGGATAAATCAATGCCATGAAAATTCCTGTTTAGGCAGAGGAGTTATCAAAGCCAGGCTTAATTTCACCCACCACAAACAAGCATCAGCCAGCTCCAAATCTTGCCTCCTGATATTCCCGAGGTAGAACTCGGGCCCCTCTAGTGGAAATCCATGGAATATGTGCAGCAGGAGATCCTGCAAGTTATTCCTCGTCCAAAAAACCACCGTCAGCTCCATCCAAACAGAGCAAGGACACCGAAATTCCCACCTGGATATCTGAGCCTCGGGGGCTTCAATCCCGCTTTTGGCCCCCCCTGGAATTTGTGGCTGGGTCGGTGTTTTCAGCTCGATCCTCGACGATTCCTTTTAAAAAGTTTCAGCACCACGGATGGGATTTTTTTGGGGGGTTTCTGTTTTTCCCCCGGTGCAATTTCTCCACCTGGTGGTGGAAAAAACCAGCTCCCAAATCACATCCCAAAGATGCTCTGCTCCAGGGATGGGATTTTACACCTATTTTACATCTATTTTACACCTATTTTAAGTCTATTTTTCACCTTCTGGCTTTCAGGTTCTGCCTGAGCGCTGGAACACACGAGCCGAGGGAAAATACACCTGGATTTGGGACTGGAAATTCATTTCCCTCCGGGTCCACTTCAGGCACCAGGATGGGATTTGTTGGGCAGGAGGTTTCCTTCAATCCCAACTAATGCATTCCCTGTTTTCCACCCACCCACTGGCACTCTGATAACTCAGAAACAACTTCATTTATCCCTCAGGTGACCATTCCCAGAGGATAAATATATATATTTTTAACAGAATATCTTTTTATTTTTGATCAGTAAAAAATGCCCCCAAACCTCTGTGATCTCATTTGGGAGATTTTGACTGTATTTGGTGTTTTATTTGGCAGGAAGGAATTCAGGTGGATTTTAAAGTTCCAGCAACCTCAAAGCAGGATTTGATTTTTGATTTTTATGATTTTTATTTAATTTACTTCCCTCCATATCCAGGCACCAGGACAGGATTTATTGGGAAAGAAGTTTCCCTCAATCCCAACTAATGCATTCCCTGTTTTCCACCCACCCACTGGCACTCTGATAACTCAGAAACAACTTCATTTATCCCTCAGGTGACCCTGCCCAGAGGATAAATATATATTTTCTATATTTTTTGGAACAGAACACCTTTGTTTTTATCAGTAAAAAATCCCCCCAAACTGCTGTGACCTGATCCTGAGATTTTGGCAGGGAGGAATTCAGGTGGATTTTAAAGTTCCAGCAATCCCAAAGCAGGATTTGATTTTTGATTTTCATGATTTTTATTTAATTTACTTCCCTCCATATCCAGGCACCAGGACGGGATTTGTTGGGCAGGAGGTTTCCAGAGGATAAATATATATTTTCTATATTTTCTTTAACAGAACATTTTTGTTTTTATCAGTAAAAAATTCCCCCAAACCTCTGTGATCTCATCTGGGAGATTTTGGCAAAGGCTCCAGCAATCCCAAAGAAGTATTTCATTTTTGATTTTTATGATTTTTATTTAATTTACTTCCCTCCATATCCAGGCACCAGGACAGGATTTGTTGAGTAGGAGGTTTCCAGAGGATAAACATATATATTTTCTATATTTTTTGAACAGAACATCTTTGGTTTTGTCAGTAAAAAATTCCCCCAAACTGCTGTTTCTCTCATCTGGGAGATTTTGGGAGAAAGGAATTCAGATGGATTGCAAAGGCTCCAGCAATCCCAAAGCAGTATTTTATTTTTGATTTTCATTTCTATTTCATTTACTTCCCACCATATCCAGGCACCAGGACAGGATTTATTGGGAAAGAAGTTTCCCTCAATCCCAGCTAATGCATTCCCTGTTTTCCACCCACCCACTGGCACTCTGATAACTCAGAAACAACTTCATTTATCCCTCAGGTGACCCTGCCCAGAGGATAAATATATATTTTCTATATTTTTTGGAACAGAACACCTTTGTTTTTATCAGTAAAAAATCCCCCCAAACTGCTGTGACCTGATCCTGAGATTTTGGCAGGGAGGAATTCAGGTGGATTTTAAAGTTCCAGCAATCCCAAAGCAGTATTTGATTTTTGATTTTCATGATTTTTATTTAATTTACTTCCCTCCATATCCAGGCACCAGGACGGGATTTGTTGGGCAGGAGGTTTCCAGAGGATAAATATATATTTTCTATATTTTCTTTAACAGAACATTTTTGTTTTTATCAGTAAAAATTTCCCCAAACCTCTGTGATCTCATCTGGGAGATTTTGGCAAAGGCTCCAGCAATCCCAAAGAAGTATTTCATTTTTGATTTTTATGATTTTTATTTAATTTACTTCCCTCCATATCCAGGCACCAGGACAGGATTTGTTGGGCAGGAGGTGTCCAGAGAATAAATATATATATATTCTATATTTTTTTAACAGAACATCTTTGTTTTTGTCAGTAAAAAATTCCCCCCAACTGCTGTGATCCCACCTGGGAGATTTTGGCAGGAAGGAATCCAGGGAAGGCTCCAGGAATCCCAAAGCAGGATTTGATTTGTGATTTTTATGACTTTTTTAGTGTGAGATTGGTGGTGTTTCTATTAGGGAGGAAGGGGGGTAAGGGAAAGAACTGTTTTCCTCTGGGATAATGAACTTCCAAAGGGAAAGAGTGGATTTTCCTCCGTGGAGATTTTGGAGCGGGAATAAACCTGCTCCTCTTCCCTCCCACCAAACTGAGGGAACATCCTCCCTCTGCACATCCTAAATTAATGGCATGTGATTCCAGCCTTTTCCCCACCCAAATCCCAGCTGGATCCCATCCCAGAGCTGCTTGACCTGTGACTGGAGTTCCCAAAAATCCCCAGGGAATGCAATCCCTGCACTCAGGCGGGGAATTCAGGGTTAAAATCCCTCTTTTCCTTCCTTTGCTTCGTGATCCCTGATTAAACAGGGGCAGAACAGCAGGAAGCAGGGAATGGAATGTTGTTTTCCCTTCTATTCCAGCTGAAAAGATGGATAAAAGTCCTTTTCCCTGTTTTCTGTGCAGCCCAGGGTTTCTCCTGAGCCGTAAAATGCACACCTGAGACCTCTCAGGTTCGGGAGGGGATTAAAATTCCACCTGGAAGCTGCAATTCCCCCTCACCCTTCAGCCTTTGGAAAATCGGGATTGGGCTGAGATTTGGGATTAAATATCATGTCTCCATGTCCATATTCCCATTTATCACTGAGGGTCATGGAGAGTGAGGGCTCCAAGCACTTCTTTGTCGGGGGGACAGAATTCCCAACCCTGATTTCCCTCTTCCAGGGCAGGTCATGCACTGAACTGGCATTGCTGGTGCTCTTCCCAAACATTCCTGTGGCTGGGAACATCATTCCCATCCTTTCTCCTCAAGCCTTACCCCACCCCTTAAAGAGCTCTGCTGTTTTGGGGCTTTTTATGAGCTGAACGACCCCATTAATATGTTTTTATTTTGCTGGGGTTCGTTTTCTGCCAGAGAAAGAAGGGGAAGGAAAGTTGGGATGAGGAAAGGTGGGACAAGGAAAAAAATGGGACAGGTGAGAAATGTCTTTGCAGTGACAAACCAACTCTCTGTCCATGGTGAAACCACGGAGGGAACAGAAAACACTTGGATTAAAATCAATCCAATTCCTGAGGCCTGAGGAGAATAAAGGACTGGAGAGAATTCCCTCCTTATCCCATGGATCAATCCATGCCAGTGGATTACTCAGAGTTGGTGTATCCAGCAGAGACAACAGGGAGAATTTTATTCATCCCAACACCTTGCAAGCTATCCCCAATTAGCTTTTTAGCTAATTACCCCCTGGCTGTTAATTTGAAGGCATAAATTGTCGAGATTTTTACAAAAACACACGGAGAGAAACGTTGCTCCTGAGAAAACTCCTCCAAAGAAGTTCCCAGGAGGTGAGAGGAATAACAGCCACATAAAAGTGGAGCAAAATCCCTGGTTTCAGAGCAAAATGAATCCAGGGATTCATCCAGGGATCCATCCAGGCATCACATCCCACCGGGATCTCGTTGCCTTTCCCAGGGGGATGAGGAGCTGAGGGCAGGGACTCCCTGCAGCAGCAGCAGCTTTATTTATCCCCCTGGATCTTTCATCAGCAAAAAAAAAAAAGAGGAAAAGGTGGGTAAATCTTCTGGAAGAGATGATTTTTCTGTATTCCCTCCAGCAGGCAGCTGAGAAGGAAGGAAAACTTCCTCCCAAGTGTCCAAACCACCTCTCAGCAACCACCTGGAGAACTCCATCCTTGGGGTTTGAGCCTCCAGAAATTCCCCAATCCCTAAAATTCCCCCCATGCCAAGCCTGTTTAGGAGGTGAGGAGTGCAAGGAAATGTTGGGATCAAGCGTTGGACTTGATGATCTTGGAGGGCCCTTCCAACCCAGCTGATTCTGTGACCGATGGAAGTCCTGAAGGTCCTCGAGGAGCACAAATTGGAGCTGAATCTTGTCCTCCTGTGACTCCAGAGCTTCCCCTCTGCTCACTCCCAGGGTTCTCCAAAGCCCTCATTCTCATTCCAGGTGCAGTTTGCTTCCAAGGGTTGTTCCCAAAACCAGTGACTCGGTCTCCAGAAGGGAATAAATCCAGATCCAGTGGCACTCACCAGCTGGAGCACGTGGACAACCGTGTCCTGGCTTCTCCCAGCTCTCCTCCCACAGGAATTTGTCCTCCCAAAAAAGTGCCAGCCCTGTCTGCCAGCGAGGTCACTTCTTCTTTGCTGGGGCCTTGGCATTCCCAGCAGCCTTCCCGTTGCTTTTGCTGCCTCCTCCTGCTTTTCCTGCTTCACATTCCTTCTTCCCACCCCCTTGTTTCTTGTCACTTGTGTCCTTTCCCCCCTTTTCTCCCTTTCCTCCTTTTTCTTCTTTTCCTCCCTTTTCTCCTTTTCCTCCCTTTTCTTCTTTTCCTCCCTTTTCTCCTTTTCCTCCCTTTTCTTCTTTTCCTCCCTTTTCTTCTTTCCCTCCCTTTTCTCCTTTTCCTCCCTTTTCTCCCTTTTCTCCCTCTTTCTTTTTGGCCCCATCCTTCCCTTCTTTCTTGGATCCTTCTTTCTGCTCCTTCTCCCCGTCCTTCTTCTTGGTGCTTTTGGATTCATCTTTCTTCCCCTGAGCCTTGTCCACTTTTCCAGACACAGTGGGAACTTCTTCCTTTTTTTCTTCTGCAGCCTGAGCTGTTGGAAAGATGGGAAAAAAAAAAAGAAAACAGGAAAGGAGTTAACTTGGGTTGAAAAGAGCTGGGAAGAGCTCAAAATTCCTGCTCCCTGTTTGGGACAAATCTTGGACAAAGGGAAACCACTTCTACTGGGGCTTTTTTCCTCCTGGTTGCTCACTGATGGGCAGCTTTTCATGGCTTTGTTTTGAGAAGATAATGGGATAAATAATAATAATTTCAAGAGCTGATTTGTGGATTTATTGGAGGAAATGGCTCCTCTTGGTAGGAACTGATCCATGAAAATTAAAACACAATCCATAAGCACTTCCCAATAACGACCTGGAGTTGTCTCCTTCCAAAAAGAGGAACAGAAACATCTCTTATGCGGTTCAGGACAAACCTGCCTTAGATTTGGGTTTTTTTGGGGCTTTTTTAAAATTACTTCTTTGTCTATGGGCTGTGTCTCCTACAGCTGAGAGTGGGGATTCTCCTGGGAAGCTGAAGATTAGATTTAGATTGGATATTAAGAATTAATTGTGTATTATAAAGGTGGGGAGGGACTGGACTGGATTTCCCAGAGAAGCTGTGGCTGCCTCTGGATCCCTAAAAGTGTCCAAGGCCAGGTTGGAGCAACCTGGGCTGGTGGAAGGTGTCCCTGCCCATGGCAGGGGTTGGAAATGGATGATCTTTAAGGTCCCTTCCAACACAAACCATTCCATAATTCTGCCATTCCATGATTTTTTTCACATTAATATTCCTTTAATATGGACTTTATTTTAAAGTGTCACCCTTTGACCTTGGGAACTGGCAATTTGTTTGTCCAAAGGGGAGTAGAAAAACACAGACCCTTCCTTACAATCCCAGGGGAAATCCTGGCATCTCCTATTAAAAAATAAAAAAAAAAGGGAAAGGGGGAGGAAAAAAAAAAGGAACCAACCCATCCCATTTTCTGCTTTCTGGATAAATGTGATAGAAACTAGGTGAACTCCCAAAATATCAGCTGGAGCAGCCTCAGGGTGGAATAATTGGAGATCTCCCAGGATGTGGACAGAGAAAAGGCCAAGTCCTGCTTGTTCTTCTCCCCCAGGCCGGGAGGGAGAGCACAGACAAATCAATTTTATATCATATTTTATCCACTTGAACCCCTAAAAGCCCATTTAATTTATTCCCAGTAAAAGGACTTGCCCTATATAACACTCCCAAAAGTGCATGGAGAGCCAGTTGGCACCTCCAATACTCCCAACAAATGGGAAGTGGGGGGGAAATAATACCAAGAAAGGAGATTATTTCAGCAGTGTGATATGTTGATGACATTCCCAGCAAACCTGAAAGCATTCCATGGCCACTCAGGAATCCCATCCTTTTGATTTTCCACCAGGGATACGGGGATAAAGCCTGGATAAATAGTGCTGGTGCACTCTTACCCCACATCTATCTTATCCACATCTACCTGCATGGATATGGATAAAATACTTATGGAAGGGTGATTCCCATTCCAGGATCGGTTCCTTCAGGGCATTTTGGGAAGATTTAGATCTGCCAAGTCCAAGAGGACCAGGAACTCCATGAATTATTATCAAATAGCAGCAGCCACTCAGCAATATATTATCCATCAACATCCTACCCTGCACCAGGACCGTAATTCTGGAATTCCCAAAGCGTGGCCAACATTTAACTGGATAAAAGGGGATTTCAGGGATGTTTCATGGTGCAGCTGATGCCCAATAAATGCCCAATAAATGCCCAATAAATTGATTTCCCGTGTTCATTTTTTCAGGAGCTCCTGCTGTGATAATTCCCCGTGGCCTCGTTAAATCCACACCCAATATCCAGCCCTTGGATGGAGCACATGGATGGGTCCATGTGGGATGGAAAGCCTGCTTAGAGGAGGTCCAAATCTCTCAGCATTCTGGGGTGAAACAGCCAATTTGCTGCTCAAATATCCTCTCTGCCTCTTCTGGATGTTCTCACCCTTCATTTATTGGTTTTCCAGAAGTAACAGCAGGAAGAGGACGGGGCAGCAAAGGAGGGAATTTGGATTTTCTCCCATCTCCAGGCATGTTCCTTCACATCCCCCGGGATCTGCTGGGAGCTGGTCCTTACAGGGGCAGAATTGGGACATTTTGGGCAGTGAATTAAAGGATACTTTGATTTCCTACCCCAAATGTGGGCATTTTCCACGTGGGATTGCTCAGACAAGGTAAGATTCAATCAACCACACCTTGGGGTGACCTTGGACTTTAGAGTAGGTTAAATTTAAGTGTGTGGACAAGGGGTTCTCTCTGCCAGTTGGGTTCTGCTCCAGAGAGGAGTCTGACCATCCTCAATTTATGGTCAGAGGTCAGGACACCTCTGAAATCCCGAGCTTTGTGCAAGTTTTCCATGTTGTTAAACTCTTAGTTCTGCGTTTTGCTGGTGTAGGACTAAACTCCTACAGTTCTTTCACCTGATCCATGGAAACATCACCTTTGGAACGAAGGAAACTCGCAGTTTTTAGGGAGCAGCAGGTCACAGGGTTTGCAGAGCCACAGGAAAGAGAGGAGAAAAAAAAAAAGCTCCTAAAACCGGAGAAAAGTGCAGAAAGGAGAAGCAGAGAGTCCAAGGGCTGCCGGATCCCAGCGGAAAAGGGAAGCCACAGACAGACAGGCAGGAGAAGGCAGATCCCTAATTTCCTTGCAGGGCCATCTCATCCTCTTCTTGCAGCACAGGCAGAGAGTTGAGAGCTCTGGGCTGGACATGACCAGAGAGAGGAAGGAGAGTTTCAGTAGAGCCTGTGGCACAGAACCAGGAGAGGAGAGTGAGAGCAACAGAGAGCACAGACAGGAACATTCCTGCTCATCCCAACATGGATGGGGAACATGGAACTCCAGCAACTCCTTTTTTTTTTTTTCCAGCTGACATCCCCCAACCCCAGAGCTGGGCCCTAAAATTAATCAGACCCCTCTCCTTGGAAAACTGAAACCTGAATTCCTTGTTGCACTCCACAGCTCCCTGGAAGGAGGTTTTAGCAGGGAAGAGGTTGGGCTCTTTTCCCAGGAAACACGAGGTGGGACAAAGGGAAACGGCCTCGGGTGGCACCAGGGGAGGTTCAGGTTGGATGTTGGGAAGAAATTCTTCCCTGGAAGAGTGGTTAAACATTGGAACAGGCTGCCAAGGGAGGTGGGGGAGTTCCCATCCCTGGAAGTGTTCCAAAAATAGGTGGATGTGGCACTTCAAACTACGGCTTAAGGGTGGGATTCACTCAAAAGCTGGACTTGATGATCTTGGAGGTCTTTTCCAACCTTTTTATCATTTCTAAGGACTTGTACCAAGGGAGAAGGTCCCTTTTATCTAAATGTCTGTGTCTGCTGCCACAAATGCAGCGGGTTCAGGTTGGTCTTTATGTTGGGAGGGGGTTTATTTGCAGATTGGAGGGGTTTAATGGTTGCACCCAAGGATCCACGGGGACTTACCCCAAGGGAGGATCTTTGCATTCAGTGCAGGTTTAGGCTTGTCTTAATGGCACAAGTTTAGCTTTACCTTAATGTTGGGAGGGATCTGTCCTCACTTGGGGTGGGTTTATCCCAACAGTTGGCACCCACAGTGACCCCCACCAAGGCAGGACCTTCTCAGAAACCAAGCCCAGGGGAGGAGATGTCCAAAAAACAGGTGGATGTGGCACTTCAGACTATGGCTTAAAGGTGGGGCTTGGTCAAAAGCTGGACTTGATGATCTGGGAGGTCTTTCCCAACCTTTTTACGATTTCCAAGGACTTTCCAAGGACTCTCCAATGAAGAGGTACCTTTTTATCTAAATGTCTGTGTCTGCTGTCACAAATGCAGTGGGTTCAGGTTGATCTTAACGTTGGGAGGGGGGTTATCTGCAGATAGGAGGGGTTTAATGGTTGCACCCAAGGATCCATAGGGACTTACCCCAAGGGAGGACCTTTGCATTCAGTGCAGGTTTAGGCTTGTCTTAATGCCACAGGTTTAGGTTTAGCTTAATGTTGGGAGGGGTCTGTCCTCACACAAGAAGGGTTTATCTCAACAGTGGCACCTACAATGACCCCCACCAAGGCAGGACCTTCTCAGAAACCAAGGAGGTTTCTCAGAAACCTCTGAGGACCTTCTCAGAAACCTCATCCCTGAGGAGGAGGTGTCCAAAAAACAGGTGGACGTGGCACTTCAAACTACGGCTTAAAGGTGGGATTCCCTCAAAAGCTGGACTTAATGATCTTGGGGGTCTTTTCCAATATTCTCAGAAACCACCCCTGGGGGAGGAGGCGGGTCTGGGGAGGGTGTGGGCACAGCAGGTACCTCCAGGGATCTCGGTGAGCTCGTTGAGGGGTGGCACAGTGTCCAGCTTGTCGGCGTAGTTCTTGGCCGCCTGGCGCTGGGCGTAGCGCGCCTCGATCTCCTTCTTGGTGCGCGGGATCCGGCACTTGAAGATGCAGCACAGGGTGATAACTGGGAAGGGAAAGAGGAAACAGGAGCCTTGGGATTAATCAGGTCGTTCCTTTGATGCTGGAGGTCTAAAAGGCAGGAGATAACTCTCTAAGGCTTTTTTTTTTTTGAGGATCAGGAAGCAAAAAGCCCTCGTTTGCCAACGACGCGGGCACCGCGATCGTTCCCAAACTGCAGAGGGGTTGCAGATCTGGCCTGTCACCTCACTGCAATTTTATATATTCACATGGTATATATAAAAAACAACTTCATATATTCATAGCTAAAGTTAGAAAATTCTACTCTGTAAAATAATAATTGTTATATTTTATTTAAAAAATTCAGTGGTTTCTCCTCCGTCAAACCACAATAAAGCAGCAGAAGAAACATCCTGCGAGACAAAATGGAGGAATGTTCAATTCTCTCTATTTTATACATTAATATATTATATATATATTTATTTAGTATATATAAAGTACAACCTTATATATTCATATATAAAATTAAAAAATGCTACCCTATAAAATCATAATTGTTATATTTTATTTTAAAAAATTTCATGGTTTCTCCTCCATCAAACCACACAAAGTAGCAGAAGAAACATCCTGTGAGACAAAATGCAATGGGGGAATGTTCAATTCTCTCCATTTTATATATTCATATAATGTATTTATGTTCCTATAGTATATAGAAAGTACAACTTTATATATTCATATAGTATATATAAAATTAGAAAATTCTACTGTGTAAAATAATCATGATTATATTTTATTTTTAAAAAATTTAATGGGTTTTTTTCCATCAAATCACATAAAGCAGCAGAAGAAACATCCTGTGAGACAAAATGCAATGGGGGAATGTTCAGTTCTCTCCATTTTATATATTCATATAATGTATTTATGTTCCTATAGTATATAGAAAGTACAACTTTATATATTCATATCTAAAATTAGAAAATTCTACTCTATAAAATCATAATTGTTATATTTTAGTTTTAAAAAATGTAATGGTTTAAAATATATATATTATATTTTTATATAAATATATTTTTATATTCTAGATGCTATTCATCTAAATATAATCTATATAAATTACTATATAAATATATATTCACATAGTACCTAGAAAATTAGAAAATTCTCCTCTATAAAATAATAATTGTTATATTTTATTTTAAACAAATTTAATGGTTTCCCCTCCATCAAACCACATAAAGCAGTAGGAGAAACATCCTGTGAGACAAAATGCAATGGAGAAATGTTCATATATATTCAAATATTCAAATATTCAAATATTCATATAGAATATATATACTATAGTGTATATATATATAATATACATGTATTATAGTGTATATATATTCATATAGTATATAGAAAGTACAACTTTATATATTCATATATAAAATTAAAAAATTCTACCCTATAAAATCATAATTGTTATATTTTATTTAAAAAATTCAGTGGTTTCTCCTCCATCAAACCACAATAAAGCAGCAGAAGAAACATCCAGAATTGCTACTAAGGGAGGAAAGGAAGTGTGGCCAGAGTGGTGAGAGCTTGTAGAGGCACCTGGGCTGACCAAAGAGGGAGGAATTTGTGGGATCTGGCACCAAAAGATCCCCCTTTTAAAATGTGGGATTTATTTGGATTTCTTCAGCAACGAGAATTGGAATTGGAATTGGAATTGGAATTGGAATTGGAACTGGAATTGGAACTGGAATTGGAATTGGAATTGGAACTGGAACTGGAATTGGAATTGGAATTGGAACTGGAACTGGAATTGGAATTGGAACTGGAATTGGAATTGGAATTGGAATTGGAATTGGAATTGGAATTGGAATTGGAATTGGAATTGGAATTGGAACTGGAATTGGAACTGGAATTGGAGAAGCCGCAGCAGACAAAGCCCCAGGAGGAGGGATCAGGGCACGGTTTGAGGGTCAGAAAATTCTGCTTAATTAATGTCTTGACCCCGGAGATCTAAATTTCCTTCCTGCCTTGGATCCCAGCTCTCCAGCTCCGGAATCCCCTCGTGTGCATCCCTGGGATGTCCCAAAGAGCCCCACAGTCACCTCCAAGATCCCCTGGAGCCCTCCAGGAGCAAATGCTGCCCTAATTCCCCAGGGAACGAGGACTTACTGACTGCCAGGACAAAGAGGGCAAAGATCCCCACCACCATCCAGAGCCTGAGCCCCCAGATCACGACGGTCTCCGAGGTCACGGGGTCCGGCTTCTTCTTGGGGGGCTCCGTGGTGGCCTGGGAGAGAGGGACAGAGGGAATTTTCATGCTCACAAAGGAAATCTTTTTGCTGTTCTCAAAGTGCCAGTTTTTTCTAAAGAGCTCATTTCTGTGGCTCAAGAGGGAATTTCTCATATTTTTCCTCATATTTTTATTTTTTCCTTATATTTTTATTTTTTCCTTATATTTTTCTCATATTTTTCTTATTTTTTAATATATTTTTTCTCATATTTTTCTTATTTTTTAATATATTTTTCTTATATTTTTCTTACATATTTTTCTTACATATTTTTCTTATTTATTTCTTATATATTTCTTATAATTTTTGTATATATTTCTTATATTTTTACATATTTTTCTTATCCATTTCTTATATTTTTCTTATCCATTTCTTATATTTTTTCTTATCTATTTCTTATGTTTCTAAATACTTTTTCTTATCTATTTCTTACAATTTTTCTTATCTATTTCTCATATTTTTAACATATTTTTCTTATCTCTTTCTTATATTACATATTTTTTCCTATATATTTCTTATATTTGTTACATATTTTTCTTATGTATTTCTTATAGTTTTTACATGTTTTTCTTATATATTTCTTATCTTTTTCTTATCTCTTTCTTATATTTTTACATATTTTTCTTATATATTTATTACAAATTTTCTTATATATTTTTACATATTTTTCTTATATATTTCTTATATTCTTTACGTATTTTTCCTATACATTTCTTATATTTTTTACACATTTTTCTTATATATTTATTACAAATTTTCTTATATATTTTTACATATTTTTTCTTATATATTTCTTATATTCCTTACATATTTTTCCTATACATTTCTTATATTTTTTACACATTTTTCTTCTATATTTCTTATATTTTTACATATTTTTCCTATATATTTCCAATATTTTTTACAAATTTTTCTTATATTTCTTATATTTTTACTTTTTTTCTTACATATTTCTTATATTTTTACATTTTTTCTATATATTTCTTATATTTTTACATATTTTTCTTATATATTTCTTATATTTTTTACTTTTTTTCTTATATATTTCTTATATTCTTTACATATTTTTCCTATATATTTCTTATATTTTTACATATTTTTCCTATATATTTCTTATATTCTTTACATATTTTTCTTATATATTTCTTATATTTTTAACATATTTTTCCTATATATTTCTTATATTCTTTACATATTTTTCTTGTATATTTCTTATATTTTTCACATATTTTTCTTATCTATTTCTTATATTTTTTACACATTTTTCCTATATATTTCTTATATTTTTTACATACTTTTCCTATACATTTCTTACAATTTTTCTTACCTATTTCTTATATATTTTTTTCCATATTTTTCCTAGACTTTTCTTACATACCCTTTTAGATTTTTTCTTACAGATTTTGTCTTACATTTTGTCTTACATTTTTCCTGCATATTTTTTCTTCCTCCTCCCACAACCCATGCCAGGCCCTCTCCTCCCTCCCAGCCAGGAATTCCTTCCCAAATCCCATCTCTCCCTGCCCTCTGGCAGTGGGAAGCCATTCCCTTCATCCTGTCGCTCCTTGTAAAAAGCTGCTAAAAGCTGAAAACACTTCATTTCTAAAAAAAAAAAATCCTATTAACCATCTGATTCCCTGCTGTGCCCTTCCTGTGCCAGCCCATCCAAGCGCTCTTCCAGCCTGTAACGGATATCCCGGAGCGAATCCGAGCTGGAGCTGCTCTCCAATTACTTCTCTCCGGGCAACACAAACCATATTTCAGTCTCTCCCTAATGCAGGATGAGTCCTGCAGTGTCTGCAGTGCTTTGGCTCCCAGGAGATCCTGCTCGGAATCCATCAGAGCTGCCTGAGCCCGGCTCTTCCTCTTCTTTCCTTGGAATCAACCAGCATCCCATTGGAATTTGGGGCGTTGCCCTTTTCCCTGGATTAAAAACTGGAATTGCTACTAAGGGAGGAAAGGAAGTGTGGCCAGAGTGGTGAGAGCTTGTAGAGGCACCTGGGATGGCCAAAGAGGGGGGAATTTGTGGGATCAGGCACCGAAAAATCCCCCTTTTAAAATGTGGGATTTATTTGGATTTCTCCAGCAACAAAGAATTGGAATGGGAATTGGAATTGTAGTTGGAATTGGAATTGGAATTGGAATTGGAGCTGGAATTGGAATTGGAATCGGAATTGGAATTGGAATTGGAGCTGGAATTGGAATTGGAATTGTAGTTGGAATTGGAATTGGAATGGGAATTGGAATTGGAATTGGAATTGGAACTGGAATGGGAATTGGAATTGGAACTGGAATTGGAATTGGAATTGGAATTGGAATTGTAGTTGGAATTGGAATTGGAATTGGAATTGGAATTGTAGTTGGAATTGGAATTGGAATTGGAATTGGAATTGGAATTGGAGCTGGAATTGGAATCGGAATTGGAATTGTAGTTGGAATTGGAATTGGAATTGGAATTGTAGTTGGAATTGGAATTGGAATTGGAATGGGAATTGGAATTGGAGCTGGAATTGAAATTGGAATCGGAATTGGAATTGGAATTGGAATTGGAGCTGGAATTGGAATTGGAATTGGAATTGGAATTGTAGTTGGAATTGGAATTGGAATTGGAATTGGAATTGTAGTTGGAATTGGAATTGGAATTGGAATTGGAATTGGAATTGGAGTTGGAATTGGAATTGGAATTGGAATTGTAGTTGGAATTGGAATTGGAATTGGAATTGTAGTTGGAATTGGAATTGGAATTGGAATTGGAATTGGAATTGGAATTGGAATTGGAATTGGAATTGGAATTGGAATTGGAACTGGAATTGGAATTGGAACTGGAATTGGAATAGGAACTGGAATTGGAATTGGAACTGGAATTGGAGAAGCTGCAGCAGACAAAGCCCCGGGAGGAGGGATCAGGGCACGGTTTGAGGGTCAGAAAATTCTGTTTAATTCATGTCTTGACCCCGGAGATCTAAATTTCCTTCCTGCCTTGGATCAGCTTTCCTTACTCCTGATCCCAGCATGGGGAAGCCTCAATCCGACCCATAGGATAAATATAAATAATTTTGATTTATTTGGGTCGTTTTGTGGAGCTCAGTTGCCCAAAGGATGGATCTTTCCTTCCAGACTTGTCTCTGATGGACAACTGGGAAAGTGAGACAGATATTGGTAGTGGGAAGGGGTGGAATTCCCATCCCTGGAAGTGCTCCAGGAATGGCTTTCCAAACTTAATTGCTCTGTGTAGTGGGAATTCCTTTGATATTTAAGTATTCTCCAGTCTGAGACGTGAAGGAATGATGAGAAAACTCTTGGACTAGTAAAAGGTTGGGAATGGGAATAAAAGGATGGGAATAAAACCAAATGGGAAGGGATGTGCTGACATTGGATCTCCAGCAATTGTGGGGCAACAGCAGGACAGTCTGAGCCTCTGGATCACTGTGGAAGCAGGATGGATAACGATTGGAGCAGTTGCCAGATTATGGAATTCTGAAGGAATTCTTGGAGGGGAGGAACAGCAGAACCTCCAACAGGAGGGAAGAAACAACAAGGTTAAAATTTCTGCTGCTCCTTTTGGAGTAAAATATCCTAAAAAAAAAAAAAATCTCCATCCTAATGGAAGGAATTCTTAGGAGCTTCAGGAACTTGGAAGTGCTGGTTTGTGCTTGGGAATGAAGGGCAAGACCTGGAGCTGTTGATTTGTGCTCAGCAGTGAATGCCAAGAGAAGGGAATGGTTGGATTGGGATAAAGGGATAAAGGGTGAGGAAGGGAAAGGAAACTGGGATAAGGTGATCCTTATGCAGGGAAGGGAAAAAACCACCCAGAATTCCATCAAAGGTCATGGAATTTGGTCCAAGAGTGGAAGACAGAGGGAAAAATCACCCAGAGTTCCATCAGAGGGGATGGAATGTGGTCCAGAATTGGAGATGGAGGGAAAAAACACTCAGAATTCCATTAAAGGGGATGGAATGTGGTCCAGGATTGGAAGATGGAGGGAAAAACCATTCAGAGTTCCAGGGGATGGAATGTGGTCCAGAAGTGGAGGAAGGAGGGAAAAAACACCCAGTGTTCCATCAGAGAGGATGGAATGTGATCCAGGATTGGAAGATGGGGGGAAAAACCACCCAGAATCCCATTAAAGGGGATGGAATGTGGTCCAAGAGTGGAGAATGGAGGGGAAAAAACCACCCAGTGTTCCATCAAAGGTGATGGAATGTGGTCCAAGAGTGGAAAATGAAGGGAAAACCCACCCAGAATTCCATCAAGTGTGTTGGAATGTGGTCCAGAAGTGGAACATGGAGGGAAAAAACCACCCAGAGTTCCACCAAAGGTGATGGAATGTGGTCCAGGAGTGGAAGATGGAGTGAAAAACCACCCAGTGTTCCATCAAAGGGGATGGAATGTGGTCCAGGAGTGGAAGATGGAGGGGAATAAACACCCAGAGATCCATCAAAGATCCATCAAAGGGGATGGAATGTGGTCCAGGAGTGGAAGACGGAGGGAAAAACCACCCAGAGTTCCATCAGAGGGGATGGAATGTGATCCAGAAGTGGAAAAAAAACCCAGAATTCCATCAAAGGGGATGGAATGTGGTCCAGGAGTGGAATGTGGACATTGCTTTATCCATGCAAAGCAGTTGCACTGAACAGAAGATTCCAGAGGACTGGAAGAAGGAGGGAAGTCTTCTGCAGAGGGTCTCAGGCTTCAGGGAGTCATCCTTAGGTGAAGGAGGTTGTTGGGAACATGGAAAATTCAGGGAAGAAGCAGCACTGGCAGCTTTCAGGGGATAATTCAACAGGGAAAGGCTTTGGAAGGCAAGAAAATGGGAATATATCAAAGGAAAAGCTGCAAACACTCCTGGGATCAACCTCAGGGCAATGTCCATAGGGATGGGAGAAAGTTGGGAGTCCAGGAGGAACTGGAATGGAGCAGAATTTAAGGAATAACGAGGAGGCTCTGGGCTAAAAAACAGGGTTTAATTGTGTTTGCAGAAAAGAGAAAATTCTGGCTTAGGAGGCTGGACTGAAATGTAGAGGAGAAAATGATGTAGGGATTGCTGAATATTCCAGGGAATGTGGGTGGAAGAGCTGCACCCTCTGTGGCAGCAGCTGGAAAACAGCTGGAATATAAAACAGTGCCTAAAACAAGGTTAGATCCCCGATTTTAGGGAAGGGAAACCAATGCCAGGGAGAAATATTGAGGCCAAAGGTTGGAATGGGATGAGCTTTAAGGTCCTTCCAACCCAAACCATCCTGGAATTCCGTGCCTGTTGTTGGGGTTTCCCTGGCAGGGCTGGAGGCTGGAGCACCCAGAGCACTTGCTGAGGCCAAAATTGCATATTTTGGGGTCTTAACCCTCAAGTTAAACCTCTCCCCCCTGAAGAAAATCCATTTATCCCCGACTTAGGGGCTTCAAAATGCCTGGTGCAAGTAGTTAAGCCTGACCTAGTTACTCCAGGCTTTTTTTTCTGTGGGAAAGGGACACTTCCTTAAGCTTATTCACTGAGGAAACATCTCCAGAGCTGATAATAAATAATAAATAATAAATCAATGATTATTTCAGGGATTCCAAGCAGAGCCTGCAGTGCCCAGCTCAGATTTGGGGATCCAGTTTCCAGATTCTTGATTTAGAGCAAATAAATCCTGCCCTGGATCCAGGTCTGTGCTTGATCTCCAGGATTGGGAGCAGGGCAGAGGATTTTTGGGGTGTCCCAGGGATCAAGTGGCTCCCTGGCAGGGGTTGGGGGCCTGTTGCTGCCCCTTATTTTGGGTTTCTAACCCCACAGGGCTGTTTTTGGGGGATGGGGGAACTAAAATCAGAGTCAAGGTTGGATTATTTTGATATCCTGGTCTTTCTTCTGCTTCTCCAAGCACCCAAAAAAGGGCTGGGAGGTTAAAAAACTATTCCATAAGGAGCTGGATCTGCCCTGAGCTTGGAAACTCAGGGCTGCAAAACATCTCCTAAATCCCAAACCATTCAATCCTTCCCAGGCAAGTGGCAGTTTTAGGTCAGAACAGTTTGACATTGGTTCTCCTACCACCCAAATAATTAAAAATATCACTATTGCTCCCTTCTGATTCCCTTCAGGCAGGTGGGACCTGTCAGTGGTGCTGAGGGGGGAGCAGAGGGATCATTCCCAGTGGAAAAGGAGGGAGTTGTTGGATGCAGGAGTTTTATTTAAGCAGCAGAGAAGAAAAAGAGTAAAAGGCACCACTTTTTGAGGTCTTTTGTTTTTTTAATGGCCCTTCTAATTAGGCTTGATTGGTGTTGGTGTTTCCCTGAACAATTAACAATATTTATCCCTAATTGGATTTGGTTCCACATCCAAAAGCCACAGATGGCTCAGGAAGGTGGAGATTTAAATAAAGGCACAGAAATGTTCTTTCTCTGCCTTTCCTTCTAAGCAGGAGATGGAGAATCCAGCAAGGGACACCCATCCAGGAGGGAAAAATGTCTCTGGTGAGGGCATCCCAACCCTGGCAGGGTCCAAATGCAACTCTGGAAACACAGGAATGATCCCAGAATCCCTGAGGTTGGAAAGTCCTCCAAGGTCACCAAGTGCAAATGGGGAATTCTAATAAAGAATTGATCTGGGTTTCCTTCCCAGGTCAATAAATAGGGGGGAAAAAGGTCATAATGAGTGAATTTAAGTGGGATAAATTATGGAGTGGAACCATGGAATGGCTGGGGTTGGAAGGGACCTGAAGGATCATCCCAAATAATCTTGGGATTTTCTCAGCTCTGGTTGTCAGCTCTGGGATTTTCAGCCCTGCCCCAAAAGAGGGATGAAGACAAGGAGTGATGAGGGTTCTACTGACCTTTAGAAGGAGAGAATTCCATACTAGAGGTGCTGGAAATGTGGATTTTCCTCCCTCCCTGTTTCCAGGGATGTTTCCAGAGCATCCCTTGGGCAGGTTGGAGGTGAGCAGGGATGTTACAAACTGCTGCCTCCTCAGCCCTCCTGCCCTGGGGGAGCTCCCTGCTTCCTAAAAGGCATCAGTTATCCTGGCAGGAATGTGTGGGAAGGTGGAAAGCCACAGGAATTCCATGGAATGGGGGGTATTTTCTGGGAGCTGGATGCAAGGTCTAAGCAGCCCCGGGAAAAGGGGGAGAAAAAGGCAAAGTGTGTTCTCCTGTCTTCAGTTTTCTTGGGGTGACACTGGAAAAGGGCCTTTTCCCAACATTCCAGGGGTTTCTTTATCAGCTGACAATGCCTGAGTTTGAAAGGTCTGCATATGGGTAGGTTTGGATGGGATATTGGGAAGGAATTCTTGGCTGGGAGGGACTGGAATGGATTTTTTCCCAGAGAAGCTCTGGTTGCTCCATCCCTGGAAGTGTCCAAGGCTAGGTTGGAGCAACCTGGGCTAGTGGAAAGTGTCCCTGGGCTGGACCTGGGTCTTTAAGGTCCTTCTCAACCCAAACCATGCTGGAATTCCATGATTTTATTTCCAGATTCACCCAGTGCCAGGAGAACTCCCTAATCCTTGCCCAGCTAAACTTCCAACCCAGGGGACCAACAATTCTCCCAGGAGAGAAAAAGCTTTTTGCCAAGGCAATTAAATTCAATATTCAGAGGCTTTTCTTGCCTCTTCTCTCCCAGGTGGAAAATGAAATTGCAAACAGTTGAACACCATTAAAAAAAAAAAACCACAAACATCTTCTTTCTTTACTTCTCCTTTTTGGGTTATTTTTGTTTTTTTTCCTTAGCTGAGTGAAATGTTTTGATGTCCAGCCCCTTTGCTCTGGTGGACTGGCTCAGCATAAATTGAATTATTCAGGACAACCAAATTATCTCATTATTTATAGGACAAAGCCCTTGCAGAGCCTCAGATCAAGAAAGGCTGGTTTTAGTAAAAACCAGGCCCTAAAATGACACCTGGTTTATAACAATTCTGGCAGTTTGGGGGCCTCTCTTTGTTTGGCTTTGGCACAAGGACAGTTCCTGCAAAATGTGTGTCTGGGATGCAAGGAAAGGGAACATCCTGGTAGGTGGATGCTGCATCTGCACAGGCTCAGTGGAGCATATTTTGGGAAATGTGCTCGGTAAGAGAAAGTTCTGCCTCACTTGTCACCTTGAGAGAGGCTGAACAGCCCAGGAAAAACTGGGAATAACATTTCCAGCAGTTTGGGAAGCAGTTTGAGGTCCCTGCCTGCCTTGCTGGGGATCTTATGGCCCAATTAAACAGGGATTTGTTGGAAAATCTGGAATTAACTCACTTTAAAGTGACACGAGCAGAGGGTTGGGCTGCAAAACTGTCGGCAGCTGGAATTCTGGAGGGCTGTTTTTCCAAGCAGGATTCTCCCTCCTGGCAGGGCTTGTGAAGCTGCTTTTCCCCTCCATGCCAGCCTTTCCCCAGGGAGCTGGAGCCCTGGGAGTGCACAGTCATCCTCAGGGAAAGGAAAAGCTCTGGAGCTGAGCTGGGGCAGGAATTTCACCTCCAAAGTTCCTGTTTGTGCAGAACCAGAGGGAATGAGGGAAGGGAAGAAGGAGGAAAATGCCCCCAAACGTTTCCCTGGGGCAGGTGCATCCAGGGGTGGGATCACTGGGATCATTCCTGGTCTTTCCCGGCTCCCCCTGATCCCTGACATGTGCCACTTGTTGCAACCGGGCTAAAAAACCCTTCCAAAGCTCCTTCTTCCCAGTTTTTTGGGCCTCCCAAAGAACCTCCAACCCCTTTAGAGCCACCTTAAATCCCCTGCTGTCCATCCATCCATCCATCCATCCATCCTACCCGTCCTGCCTGGAAAAACCCCCACATTCCTGGAGCATCCCAAGCCCCGGGGAAAGAAACCCCACATTCCTGGAGCATCCCAAGCCCTGGGAAAAGAAAACCCCCACATTCCTGGAGCATCCCAAGCCCTGGGAAAAGAAAACCTCACATTCCTGGAGCATCCCAAGCCCCGGGAAAAGAAAACCCTACATTCCTGGAGCATCCCAAGCCCCGGGAAAAGAAAACCCCACATTCCTGGAGCATCCCAAGCCCCGGGAAAAGAAAACCCCCACATTCCTGGAGCATCCCAAGCCCCGGGAAAAGAAAACCCCCACATTCCTGGAGCATCCCGAGCCCAGGGAAAAGAAAACCCCACATTCCTGGAGCACCCCAAGCCCCAGGGAAAAGCCAACCCCACATTCCTGGAGCATCCCAAGCCCCGGGAAAAGCCAACCCCACATTCCTGGAGCATCCCAAGCCCCGGGAAAAGCCAACCCCACATTCCTGGAGCATCCCAAGCCCCGGGAAAAGCCTGTCCTTACCTCGATTAACTGTGCCAGGGCAGCTCGGGAGCAGGACAGGACGAGGGAGGAGGATCCCACCCAGGAGGGAAGATGCTGCCAGCCTGGATCCCACGCCATCTTCTCTTCCCGGGATTTTTCCAGGGCTGAGCCCGAGGCAGGGCAGGGTTATGAAGGACTCAGCTCGGAGCACAGCTCAGCATTTCCCAGCAGCAGCAGCAGCTCCGGGCTGCCCCAGCCCTTTTTTTTCCTGCCTCCCTCTCTATCCCAGCAGCCGCGGAGGCGACGCCGGGGAGTCATTAATTAATTAATTAGCCCGGTGTCACTTACAGAGCTCGGCTGCTCCACGAGCCAGGCTTGGAGAGAGGGGGATGCAGGAGCAAAGGAGCACTGGGAGCTCTCCCTGCCCACCCAGAGGAAGGGAATTCACTTATTAAACCCCCGATTTTCCTCTTTTGTATATTTTTTTTTTTTTTAACAGCTGCCTGAGTGATTCCAGCTCTGGTGCTCTTGTTGTGCTCCTGCTTTGGTGAGGGAATTCTCTTCCCTTAATCAAAAAGAGGGATGAAAGCCAAGCTGATGCATCAGCAGCATCAGAGCTCCCCCAGTCCAGTGGTGCTGGAGATGAGGGTTGGATATCTCAGGATTTTAAAAGCATCTTTAGCTCCTGAAGGTTCTTGGAATCTGAAGGATTTGTTGGCACGATCCACAATTTCACCCGGATTTATGGATGCAAAGATTCCCAGAGTGGGTTGGGTTGGAAGGGACCTTAAAGATCATCCAGTTCCAACCCCCCTGGACACCTTCCACTGTCCCAGGTTGCTCCAACCTGCCCTTGGACACTTCCAGGGATCCAGGGGCAGCCACAGCTTCTCTGGGAAAAAATCCATTCCAGTCCTTCACCACCCTGCCAGCCAAGAATTCCTTCCCAATATCCCACTCAAACCTACCCACATCCAGACCTTTCAAACTCAGGCATTGTCAGCTGATAAAGAAACCCCTGGAATGTTGGGAAAAGGCCCTTTTCCAGCGTCACCCCAAGAAAACTGAAGACAGGAGAACACACTTTGCCTTTTTCTCCCCCTTTTCCCGGGGCTGCTCAGACCTTGCATCCAGCTCCCAGAAAATACCCCCCATTCCATGGAATTCCTGTGGCTTTCCACCTTCCCACACATTCCTGCCAGGATAACTGATGCCTTTTAGGAAGCAGGGAGCTCCCCCAGGGCAGGAGGGCTGAGGAGGCAGCAGTTTGTAACATCCCTGCTCACCTCCAACCTGCCCAAGGGACGCTCTGGAAACATCCCTGGAAACAGGGAGGGAGGAAAATCCACATTTCCAGCACCTCTAGTATGGAATTCTCTCCTTCTAAAGGTCAGCAGGGCTGAAAATCCCAGAGCTGAAAACCAGAACTGAGAATCCCAGAATGGTTTGGGATGGGAGGGACCTTAAGGATCATCTCATTCCACCCCCTGCCATGGGCAGGGACACCTTCCACCAGCCCAGGTTGCTCCAACCTGGCCTTGGATACTTTCAGGGGTGGGGCAGCCACAGCTTCTCTGGGAAAAAATCCATTCCAGTCCTTCACCACCTTCCCAGCCAAGAATTCCTTCCCAATATCCCACCTAATCCCACTCTCCTTCAGTTTAAACCTGATCTCTGAAGGTAACTGGGAAGAGGATTGTGGGATTCTTTAATGGGAAAAACCTGGGGTTTTAGGCAAGAAAACAAGCACAGAGATCCAGGAGGATCTAATCCCTTCTGCTGCTGTGCTCCAGTGATTTTAGGGAACCAAGCACAATTCCAGGAAAGAAAAAAAAAAAAAAAAAAGCTCCCCAGGAAATGAATATTTTAGAAGCTCAAATGGACTGCCCGGCTTTAGCTTTGCATTTCTGATGGGATTGGGAAGATCCGAGGAGGGCGGAACGATGCCAGGGATGCTTTGGAGGGGGGGCTGAGAGCTGAGATGATGGGAATGTGCTGGGAAAAGCGGTACAGGAATTGGGAGCGGTGGAAAGGGAAGGCGGGATGGGCTGGGAGGTCTCGTCAGCGAACGACAGACGGTGGCAGCACCGAGACAGGGAATTAAATCCACATCTGCAGCTCGGTCCTTCCTTCCCGATGAAAATCCAAGATCCCAAGGATCGGTTCACTCAGCTGCTTTTAATGCTTTGCAGTTTAATTCCTTAAGGAAATGAGGCTTTTGGATACACTTTTCTTGCCTTTCTCCTCCTCCCTCCACCTTATTTTCCCCTCCCCTGGCCTTCTAAAATGTGATGTTTAAATTCAGCTGCAACTGGTTGAATTAAATCCAGCTCAATTGGGATAAAGCTCTGGGAGATATGAAGGAAATTTTGTGTATTTAATTTCTTAAAAAGCGGGTGTTGGGTTAAAAATTAAACCGTTTGTAGCCCCCATGGAGGGAAGAAGGAGAATATGTGGATAATTCCTGCTGGAGAGCAGAGGATCCAGGGAAGCTGTGACCAAACTGGGGAGCTTTGGTTTGTGTCTGAATCTTCCCAGACATAAATCCAGGGAAAATCACACCAGTTCTTCTTATGGGATCGTTTCCTTTTGGGAAATATTGTGTAAATAGCAGTGCTAGTTTGTTTTGAGGGGGATTTTATGGGAATGCACCTCAGGCAGAGGAAAAGTTCTGGAATGCTGTTTCCAGGGTTATTAGTGCTTTCCCCACGGGCTGGGAGTTCCAAACTGCTCCATCCTTTTATTCTGAGGGTGGTTTTGGAGTTTTATTTTAGTTTTGAGAGCACTGAACAAACCAAACTGGGATTTCCTGCAGCTCCAGGGGAGTTCCTTCCTTTCCAGGAGCTGGACCTGCCTTGGCATCAAACCCCTTCTGGAAACATTGGGGGCCAAGAGCTGAGTGAAAAGAGCACCAATTGACCTGATCCTTTTTAATTTCCCTCCTCCACACTTCTTATTCTCCACGTTGGTCACTGCAGTGGAAGTTTTTTGGGGGAAATCTGCAGACTTCCAGCACTTGGTACCTTCATTTCAGCTTCTCTCCTTCAGCAGGTCAGAGCAGAATCTCCTCCAGCTGGGATTTGAAATTATAAGTTTTCACCTTGGCCTTTTATCCCTTTGACCTTTCAGAGCTTTATTTTATGTCTTTAATTTCTTTCAGTTCCACGAGGAGGTTACAAACACATTCTTTCCATGCACCTACTTCTAATTTAGAGGCCCAAATACCTGGGGCTGAATATTTTGTGGTGGGAAGCAAAAAGTGTTGCAAAACTTCCATTTTTTAATGGAAATATCTTTGGTGAGGAGGCCTCTGAAAGAGAATTTGCTGCTTCCCTCCCTCCATGGGCTTTGGATCCCCCTTGGAGCTGTGGGGATGGAGAGAAAGAACCTTTTGCCTGAGTGGGAATAAAGGATTTGAGGGAAGATGGAGAGGGTCTCCTTTCCTGCTGAGTGTGGGATCATCCCTGGCCACCCATTCCCAGAGCTCCAATGCCTTCCAACAACCCCTTCCAGGCTTTCCCTGCTCTCCTCACTCTTCCCCCAGAGCAGTGAGGTCCCAACCCATGGGAATATTTGTCTCCAACCAAGTAGGAAAGGAGCCACATTCCCATTTTACAGAGGCAGAGATGATGGGATTTTGCTGAATTCCCAGCTCCTCAAGCTATCCTGGGTCTTAAAACATGGATACATCCTTTCCTAACCCTACAAAACATGTCAGCAATAAAAACTGGGAATGGGATGATGTTGTGTGGAGAGTTCCAGGGAGACCCCATCACTCTTCAGCCCAGCCAGGAGCAAAGAGGGGGGAACTCCAGGGCAGGGAAGGAGAGCTGGGAGACAAGAAAGGGAAAAAAACAGGAGAAGGGAAGAACTGAGGTTCTTAAATCCCTTTGGCTGCAGTTTGAAATCCCAGGGCAAGGAAAGGCAAAAACCAGGAGAAGGGAAGAGTGGAGCTTCTTAAATCTCTTTGGCTGCAGTTTGAAACCCAAGGGCAAGGAAGGAGAGTTGGGAGCCAGGAGAAGGGAAAAACCAGGAGAAGGGAAGAATGGAGCTTCTTAAATCCCTTTGGTTGCAGTTTGGAAGCCCAGGGCAAGGAAAGGGAAAAACCAGGAGAAGGGAAGAGTGGAGCTTCTTAAATCTCTTTGGCTGCAGTTTGAAAGCCCAGGGCAAGGAAGGAGAACTGGGAACCAGGAGAAGGGAAAAACCAGGAGAAGGGAAGAGTGGAGCTTCTTAAATCCCTCTGGCTGCAGTTTGAAAGCCCAGGGCAAAGAAGGAGAACTGGGAGGCAGGAAAAGGAAAAACCAGGAGAAGGGAAGAGTGAACCTTTTTAAATCCCTCTGGCTGCAGTTTGAAACCCCAGGGCAAGGAAGAAGAGCTGGGAGCCAGGAAAAGGAAAAACCAGGAGAAGGGAAGAATTGAGGTTCTTAAATCCCTTTGGCTGCAGTTTGAAACCCCGGGGCAAGGAAAGGGAAAAACCAGGAGAAGGGAAGAATGGAGGTTCTTAAATCTCTTTGGCTGCAGTTTGAAAGCCCAGGGCAAGGAAAGAGAACTGGGAACCAGGAGAAGGGAAAAACCAGGAGAAGGAAAGAATGGAGCTTCTTAAGTCTCTTTGGCTGCAGTTTAAATCCCAGGGCAAGGAAGGAGAACTGGGAGGCAGGAAGAGGGGAAAATCAGGAGAAAGGAAGAATGGAGCTTCTTAAATCCCTCTGGCTTCAGTTTGAAAGCCCAGGGCAAGGAAAGGGAAAAACCAGGAGAAGGGAAGAGTGGAGCTTCTTAAATCCCTCTGGCTGCAGTTTAAATCCTGGTGAAATATTTTTCCCTTTAGACATTTGGACCTTTCCCTTTGTGCCCGTGGTCCGTGGCTGGGAATTCTCCTTCGGAAGAAGCGTGGAAGCTGAATTTGTTTTCCATCCCAACTTTCCCTCGGAGCCGAAGGCAAATTCGGGAGCATCCCTGATTTCTGCCGGCAGGGAGCAGCAGCCTCACCCCGCGGCTGCCCTTTCCCTTTAAATCCCTCTGAAAAAGCCTTTCGAGGGTTGAGTGGCTGCCCGAAATTTGGAGAGCGGCCAAGCCGTGGCATCCTGCCAGGGGTTTCCATGCCTACCAGGAATGTTCTGCGGTGCACCTTGGGAGGGGAA